ATAAATTATACTCGGTACTTAATAATGAAATATTTTCAAACATTAAAAAGAATATAAAACATATATTATGACTTAATTTAAATATATATTAAAAATTACTACGTAGCAATTAGGAACTAGTTGCTAATATTAGTTGTCTGGTACATTTTTAATCTTGTCGATCATGTCATTCTATATGATCTACGTAGCATATTATTTTAAATTATATCATGCTCCGTATATAAATACTATTCTATATATATTTGTATAGAAAAAGAAATGTTATACTTTACAAGAATATCACATACTAGTTGTTAAAAACTAGCCGTTAGAAACTAATACGTTAGAAAATAGCCGTTAGAAACTAATGTGTATATATATACACACAACACAAGAAAGGACAACTGCTCATTCTTTCATCAACGTATCATATATATCTGTCAACAACACTACTTATATTCATTATAAAAAATGTCTACAGATTCAAATTCTGTTGAACTACGCATGGCACGAAAGTACTGGATTAACCGGTTACGAGAAAGTGCTAATGATTCGTTGACTATACTGAAACTGAATGTTCTTGAGGAGGTGGAGAGGCAAATTGAAAGTGGTGAAAGCTCAAAAGCTAGACGAAAAAAGAGAGCTTACATCGACCGTGATCGTCAAAGCGGCCAATTGCGTCTTTATAATGATTACTTTTCAGAACAACCCGTTTTTTCTCCAAACTATTTTCGTCGACGCTTTCGAATGCGTAGGCCGTTATTTCTCAAAATAGTCCATGCAATTGAAAATTATTCCATTTATTTTCAGCAAAGGGAAGATGCATGCCGAAAGAAAGGGTTGTCACCACTACAGAAATGCACTGCTGCCCTCCGTCAACTGGCATACGGAACTCCCGCAGATAGTTGGGATGAGTACATAAGAATGGCTGAAACAACTACTATAGAAAGTTTGAAGAATTTCTGTCAATGTGTGATCAAACTTTTCGGTAATCAATACTTGAGAAGGCCCAATGCAGATGACATAAGACATTTACTTGAAATTCATGAACGGAGGCATGGTTTTCCTGGCATGCTAGGTAGTCTTGATTGTATGCATTGGGAATGGCGGAACTGCCCCGTCGCTTGGAAGGGTCAATTTACTCGAGGTGACCACGGGGTTCCAACAATTATGCTTGAAGCTGTTGCGTCTGCAGATTTATGGATATGGCATGCGTTTTTTGGAGTAGCAGGGTCACGCAATGATGTCAATGTACTCAATGAGTCTCCACTATTTAATAATATTCTGCAAGGTGTTGCTCCCGAAGTTAACTTTACGGTAAACGGCACACCATATACGAAAGGATATTATTTAACCGATGGGATATACCCAGAATGGTCTACCTTCGTAAAAAGTTTTTCATGCCCCCAAGATCTTAAAAGAAAAAAATTTAAAGAAATGCAAGAAGCTACAAGAAAGGACGTGGAGCGAGCATTTGGAGTACTACAGGCTCGTTGGGCAATTATAAAATATCCTGGACGTTATTGGCATAGAGTAAATTTGCGTGATATTATGTACACATGCATAATTTTGCACAACATGATTATTGAAGATGAAGGAGATAATGCGACAAATTGGTGTGACGATCAGAATGGTGCACTTGATGATGAAGATGATGCAGATAGACTAATTATAAATCACGGTGCGCCCCCCGCATTTCAAGAGTACATTCGTCTCAATTCCGAAATTAGGGATTCTCAATTACATCACCAACTTCGACATGATTTGGTTGAGCACATTTGGGCACATTATGGCCACAACAATTAAATTATTGATTTATTAGCATTATTTTCTAGTCTTATTTAAGCATTGTTGTTTAGATGTCATTTTTAAAGATGATTAAATTTGAATGATTGATTGTGTTAAATACAATTTCATACAATAAAATTTTTATATATAAAAATATAAACACATATAATTAAAATATAATTACATGTTATAAATACTTAATAAAACGCATATATTAATATATGTGATTAAACTTGAACAAAAGAAAAACCGAACAAATCAAATAAAGTTTGGAATAAGGAAAATACAAAAAAAAAGAGTAAGTATACGTTGGTCACTAATCAATATATATACACATATGACTCATACGTACATGTGTTTAATTTCTAGGAGAGAGAATTTTTTAATGCATTTTATACAAAAATCACAATAATCTAAGATCATGATTGAGAGCAAGTTAAGAATATTTGATATCATTAATGATTTTATATGTGGCAATGATGTGGCACAAAAAAACTGCTTATTTGAGTATCACCAATGGAGTTGCTCTAAGTAATTACCCTAAAAGGGAGTAAAACATGGATAAAATTCCAAAATAGGAGTTCTTATTGATTAATTCCCTAGATAGGAGCTATCAATTATTTCGTCCATATCTTTTCCCAATTTTACCCCTTTCATAAATTAATTTACTTTGTTAGATAACTTACCTATTCTTTGTCAGATTTTCTCACGTTATTAGTACGCAACCTCCCACCTCTCTGACTTTTCATCTTCTTCTTCCTCTCCCCCATTTTTTCTGAGATCTGATTTGTCTCACTGCCCCATCTCCGATCGTCAGATTACAGGCTCCAACATCGAATCTTTTCCTCCAACTCCGGCCACCGGCAGACAGCGGCGACACTCACAGGTAAGTTTTAATCTCTTGCTCCTCATTCTTCTTCTTCCTCTCCTCTATTTCTTCTCGATTCCCCTTCTTTTCTCAAATTCAGATGGTGGCTGATTAGGACCAATTCATTTTTTCTCTTTAATTTTCTTCATCCTAGACGATCTGTTTTTAAGTTTTTATTGATTTTTAGTTTTCTCTTTCAATTGAAAGATTGACTTTTAATTTCTTTTTTGAGTTAGTTCGGTTGAGTAAAAATCGTTTTCTTCTTTTAATTTCTTTTTTGAAAGATTGACTTTTGATTTATATTTTACATTATAGAATATAATTTTTACATTTAATTTTCAGTAAATATTTTTGTACAAATTATTTTCTGGTTTGAATTTGAGATTGCCATAATTCCCATTTTAAAGTGTTTTTATGGTATTAAGATTAAAATATTACTTCTTTGTAAATAAAATAATAATAATAATAATGACATGTTTTTTTCATGTAAAAGCATTACTGTATACATAGTTCCTTTTTTATATTAACTCCATCAAGATGGCAAATATGATATTCATATGCCATATTTTTTTAAATATAAAAGATATTTTTGCACTTATTGTCATTTGTATGGTATTATGTCCATGACTATAGCAATATATGGCACTTGCAGATATAATATATTTATAATGTCATTAAATGTCAAAGTGAGAATAAAACTTCTTCTATTTTAATATGAATGCCATTAAGATGACATTCAAGGGATGCATGGGATGTCATTCTAAAGCATTCTTAATTTCCAGATCTGAAATGATGGAGCCAAAAGAGGCTGGGGGATGGATGTGGCGGTGTCGGAGATGGTGGCAGCGGCGGCGGCCGGTGACTGCCGAGACCCTGGAAGGAGGCAGCCGCTGAGATGGTGGCGGTGGCGTCGTCAAGCGACTACGGAGACTGGCGGCGTTCGGCGACTGTGGAGAGCGGCATCTTTTTTCAACGGTGGAGACTGGCAGTGTCCAGTGACGACAGAGATTGGCGGCGGCAACGTCCGGCGTCCGGCGGCGGCGTCTAGTGGCGGCGTCCAACGGTGGTTAGGGGCGGTTGGCGGTGCAGGTAGTGCCCTTGAGTGATGCCCGCAGCAAATGTGATTGGGGAAGGAAAACTAAATTGTTGACTTGTGTAATGCGTTGATTAGTTTATTATTCTATTTTATATTTTTATTACTAAATAAGTTGGAGTACTCATTAAGGGCATTTTTGTCCCTTACTATTAATTTCCGTATAGCAAACTACAACGTTAGATAGGAGTCCTAATTTTGCATATTTAATATGTTTTACTTCTAATCTTGGAATTCTCTCTATATAAATATGCAGGTCAGTAGTGTCCTCTTGGTGTAGAAAAATACACGTAGCTTGCTTCAGGATTAGCATGTGAGTGGGTCGTTGTTCCGGATCGCATGCATGTATATGGCCCTTATTTGTACCTTCCACGCATAGTACACTGCAAATACATGTGTCTATGTATTGCAAAATACAGAGTATATTGGTCTTATTAGATAGATTCCGACCTATGAACATGTGTGTGCAATAAGCACCCTTCGTTTCTTATCGTAGGTTACGGACTTGGGCATGACCGCATGGTGTATCATGTATGCTTTGTAACTTTTGAAAAATATAAATGTGTACATGTTTAAATGCGTATATATGTATATGTAGTGAAAGTATATTGGGTGCTTGGATTTATTGGTACGTGTGAACATTTTAGGTTGGAAAAGTCAACACTTCTATAGTTGTTATTATTATCTATAAAATTGGTCTTTAGTATACTCTATTAACCAATACTTTTAAATTAAAATTATTAAGATGTCACTTTTATTATTGAAACATTTTTATTTGATTAAAGTTGTCACCGATGTTAAAATTTTATCTGATTCACTTCATTATAAAAATGTGACTTTTGTAACATTTAATCTGACTAATAAAATTATTTATTTTATTTAATTTTTTCGGGGTGTCACACATGAAAGCAACGGATCAACTCCCACTAACTAGCTTTATGGTCTTAGTAAATACGGAGTATTATTTAATAATATTCATTCATGTCCAGCACTATGATAATGTTGTAACTTTCAAAAAATTGTTTTCACTGTAAATATAACATTAATCTGAAGAAGTAAAAGTAAAGTGTAAATAAAATGTACAAATAAACATTTATTATTAAATTAGTGTGTGAACAAATCATAATAAGAATAATAATAAGTAATAATTTATTCATTTGAAATACTCATAATATTTCCGACATGGACGTGTTAAATGGGATATTGACTTGTATGATTTCGGCTTTGGATACAATATGGGCTTTTTATATCGATGGTACAACTACTGAATGGCTAAATACTTGTATGTTAGATTTTTATTGGCAATTGACAGTTGACACTATTACAACGTCAGTAGTTAAGTCTCATTTTTATATTTTAACGCAACTAGTAAATCACCCGTGCGATGCACGGTCGGAGAATTTCTATCCCATTTTTTTTCTTTCATAATGTTTTCAAAACAACCGACACAAAGGATTTATTCACAACAAAACAAAAGTGTTGGTGATAAGTTACAGAGTACACAATTCAAGATCAGCAAGTATTAAACAAAGAAATATAATATTAAAGTACACCAAAATAATACTGCAATGAACTATAGACATTTGTTAAAAATGGATTGAAATGCAAAGCTACACGTTATTGAAAACTTCCTTATAACCCACATTTTGAGTGGAATTCGACGTCTACCGCTATCATTCCATATAAGAATTTTCAAACCACGCTTGTTGGTTACTATTGAAATCGCAACATAGAGTTGTCAATGCGTGAACACAGGTTTCCTCAACAACAAACCCACACGGGACAATGATTGGTCCTGACTTTTATTTATAGTCATAGCATATGAAATCATAATGGGGTATTGTCGCCTCTGAAATCCGAAAGGCAAGTTGGCATCGGAGGGAGTAAAGGACAATTGAGGAATCAACACTTTCTGTCCGACACTAACACCAGTCAAAATTTTCTCCTCCAAAACATGATCGCAAAGCTTGGTGAGAATGAGCCGAGTACCGTTACACAACCCCATGGAATGATCAATATTTCTGAGAAGCATGGCTGGGGTCCCAACCTTTAATGTCAACTTGTGATTCTGTACACCAGACAATTTAATGCTGTTTAGGAATTCATGAGTGTGCAGTTCTACCTTTAGATCAGTTGTAGAATCTACCTTTGATACGCTGTCAAAACTAAGATAAGTCATGTTTGAGTATTTATTACATCCAAAATACATAGCACATTGGAATAGCAAGCTATATGTGGAGGTGTTAATGAATGCTTGAGAAATTAACACATTTTGTCTCACATCAACCCTTGCTAAAATCCTTTCTTCCAATAGAATTTTAGCAAAGAATTTTTCCATAGTAAAAGGTTTAGAAATTTTAGTTACGATGAATACAAATTATTTATAATGATTAAGTAATAGGGCGGCTTTATATCTATACGAATTGCATTGGTTAGACGAATTGCATTAGTTAAACGAATTGCTTTTGTAAATTGGCAAATCAGGGGGTGTGCATATATGTGAAAACATGTTATGTCATTCTTAAATTATGCGTAAATATAAATTTATTTAAACATGTTCAAATAAGTCATCTACTATTGCAAAGGAAAAATTTTGGTATTCTTTTATGCATATTATCTTTTTGAAATAATTACATGATCATGACCAAAATAAAGTTGGTATATAAAAATGTGATCTCTGAAGTATAGTGACTATGGTAGTAACTTTAGTCATATAGCTTATGTTTAATTGTCACATCAAATGACAATGACATTATATCTATAGTAATTTTAGTCTTATCCATAGAACACCCGTGTGATGCATGGTTGGTGAATTTTTCACATGTTTAATAATTTTTAGTCAAATTTGAAATAAAGAATAAACTTGTAATTCTAAATGAACCATTTAGAAGAAAAAAATTATTAGTTTTGAATTATAGTCCTACAATAATGAATTTTGACATGTGATGCAATATATTAAATTCGATTAACACTTATTACACGAAAGTATAAATATAATCTGAAAACACATAGACTTCTTGTTAAATTTCTTTATAGACAACAACATTGAACTAATACGATGACTATTATTTATACGAATTGCATTTTAAAAAGGAATTGCCTTTGTAAACTTGCAAATCACGGGGGCATTGTGGTATAGAAGTTCTTTATGGGGGGGGGGGGGCTGTAATCGGGATTATGTATTTGCCACACGATTCACAACGTAACCGATAGATCTCACATATTTAAAAACATATTGCCTGATATATTTTTTAATGCACGGTTGGTGAATCTTCAACCTGAATAAACTTGTAAAAACTAACCCAATTGAATCATGGTTACCATTTTTCAATTAAATAATGCAAAAAACTTGTGAAATTGTAAAATACCAATTGGGTGAGTTTTTTGCCTGCGAATCCTAACCCAAAACACTTCGAAGCATACCCATTTTAACATTTCTTTGCAATAGAACGTGGTGACTCATCCGATGGGATGTTTTGCCTGGAGTTTCTTAGCAAAAATCTTTTGTTTTTAATATTAATAAATAAATATTTAACGCGCGTGGTGCACAAATGATTTTGGCAAAGAATTAATGTTTACATTTCCTAAGGTAGATTATTTATATTTCCTAATATTGTGAAGCACGGTTTGAGAATTTTTCTTTCAAATTTATGTGTGCTTAGTAATTCAAATCACAATATCAGTTGATGATACAGATATACATCAAAGCATTAAACGAAAAACACTTATAATATTAAGGTAAAAATGAGATTACTAAGTATTACTTAAAAGTTCAAAAACATCCAACAAATACGTTGAAATAATAACATTGTAAATATGTATTCAAATCTATACATTCGAATTACATTTTTTACACGAATTATCGGGGTAAATTGGCAAATAAGGGGGGTGTGCAAATATGTGAAAGTGTGTTATGGCATTATTAAACAATACTCAAATATGAATTTGTGAGAACATGTTAGTTGCGTTGAGCCTGTATATGAAAAGTAATATGCAATATATATTAATTGAAGATAAAGTATTGATAATGACTGAGTAATACGATGACTTTACATTTATACGAATTGCGTGGTTAGACGAATTGCCTTTGTAAATAGGCAAATCAGGGGTGCAAGTATGTGAAAGTGTGTTATGTCATTCTTGAATTATATTTAAATATATTTTTTAGTGAAAATGTTTGAACTAACCAATACTGAATTTAAAAAACACTGACATATTTTAAGCCAATTATTGTTTTATCATTAAATACACAAAGCTATTTACTCCCAGCAATAATAATACAAAATAAATATCCAAAAATATTAAAAGGCAATGTTAATAATAAGATTTTGGAAAATCACCACAAAATCCACCTGAATTTTCAATACCCACATGAATTAAGTCCAAATTATAGACTGGAAACACCCAAATGACTAAGATAGGCCGGCCCAATGCCTAAATAATCCAGACCCAAATAACCCAACCCTTAATATCGGAGGCCACATACTAATCGCTCAGACACCCCCTAACTCTTCGCCGACACGCAAACCTCTTCCAATCCAGTCCGGCCACAAAAAATAAACTCCAACCCGCCGCATCGACGACCCAAGCTACGTCAGCAGCAAGCAACAACGATGGATCTCCACGTTCAACAACCGGAGACACAGGTAACACTCCTCGTCCTCCACCACACTAAACCACAAACTCTAACCCGATCCTTCACATGCACGCACAGGCGACTCCTTCTACAGAGCTTCTTTAACTCACAAACCAACGAAAACGTTTTTACCGGAAAAACTCACAAACCCTTCTGATCTGATATATTTTTAATTTTATTTGCCTGTTAGAGTCAAACATAATGGATCAACCGATTTTCAGTACAATACGTCGTATTTTGTAAAAACATTAACAGGAAAAACATATCGTCCATAACACACTAACGATAAAATCCATCAGGTCTGAAAGATCCGACTATGTGGTCATAGAGGCCTTATATTTAAAAATAACTAACATAGATCCGTTTTCACGTTAATAGGGCACTACTACTGTAATTTAAAAAACTAACTCGAATTCAATATCAAAATAGAAAAAGTTTTACAAAACCCAACAAATTTGCGCTTCCTTAACCTTTTTTTTTTTTTTTGTGAACTATGCTACCAAAAGAGTACAATTTTATTTTCCGATCCAGTTTGTCATTTTTGAACTGTGAACAGAAATAAGAAAAATATTACGGAGTACAATTTTTTTTCTTTCCAAGAAACAGTTTCTCTCTTTTCAATAGGGCTTGATATTTCTGTTCATGATGCAAGTAATCCTGTCGTGTTAAAAATCACCCCCAAGACATTGATTCAATAAATAAATATTTGCTTTTGTGATTTTGAAAAATTATGACCTATCAACCACGACTGACTTCTAAATTCAGTGCTAAAAGTTTATCTCTTAGATTCTTCATAGGGAATATTAATATCCAAGAAAATATGTAAATCTGCCACTCAGTTTGGGGGCAGGATTACATGTAAAATTATTCACTCAGTTTGGGGGCAGCCGCCAGGATTACATGTAAAATTATTTTATGCACCTTTAGAACAATTTACATGTAAAATTATTTCATTCACATTTTTTAAATAAAAGAACTACACAATTGCCGTTTAATATTTCATTTATGACTTTTCAAATTTGACCAAAACATTTACGCTGTGTTACACAGTCGATAGTATTTATAATTGAAATAATAATACGATGTTACGAAAGTTGGTAGTATTAGGAAATATATCAATTATAAGACCTACCAAAGTGAATATTATTGGCCTAGATAGTCCAGAAATGTTTGTATTATTAATACAAACCCTTTTAAGAACTGCCCAGGTGAAACTAATTGCCCCTAGTATGCCAGCCAATCACGTGGGTGATATATGGTACTTTATCTGATGGAAAACCGGTTTTTTCGTGCACACTTATGATTCCCGCGAAACAAATTTTCAGATTTTACTTTAAGATTTGAAATTTGTTGATTTCTAACTAAGTATCACACGTTGACATGCAAGGTTTCATCGGATCCTAATAAAATTCAGTTTTGAAGAATGCCTTTCATATGGATGTTCTTTTTTTTCAGTCTGTAAATACAGTGCAACAGGAAGGTAAATCTTATATTTGACCAATTAGTTGTTTTGACACTTGAATTAAATCTATCACTGATGCAATCAAATCATTTACTCCCTATTCATTAGGAAATATGGCTGCTCCAAGTACCATGCAGGTGTGCAAGGTTGGTAAAAGAGTGCCAATATGAATGATAATACTATATACCCGTGCTTCTTTAATACCGATGCTTGGCCTTTACACCTTAAAGGATATGGATCTTTTTATAAACATATCAGGAATGGCCTTGGCCTGTTTAAAAAAATTGCACCACACCCGCTTGAAATTTGCAGCACACCTGCTTGAAATTTGAAGCACGCCCTTTCCTATAAGGCCTTGAAATTTCATCCAGAACTAATATGGAATGTAAGATGATCTTTGAGCCCCGTAGATATTAAAACAATGATGATTTTTAGAAGGAAAACAATGAGTTTTTAATATTCCATTACAATATGAAAAGTGGATTACAAAAGATGATTTTTTCAATGTTTTGAAGCTCTTCATAGTGAAATGCTTCGTAAAATTTGCAGGGAAAAAAACTTCATTAGCAGCCTTAAATTATACCGTAATAGCGGTCTCACAATTAAATTTGAATATGTAATTAAAAAAGTAACATTAAAAACATAGTACCTTCACATCCCAGAATATGTTTTCTGGAGATTCGGGGAAAGCCTGTGCTTTCATTACCCCATATTCCTCTGGCTTTCATTGCCCCTCACGTAATAGAAATCACAAACCCACCATTGAGCTTTTGATTCACTTTCTTATTTATGCTTGTAGGTGCAAATGAATGTGAGAATTGCAGAGCATTTTTCCTGCATTTAAAGGAGTAAACAGCATGTGCATCCCATCTACTTTACTGTGTGCACCTCCAAAACTGACCAATTAAAATAACTCAACACTTGGAGGGAACACTGTTTTCCTTAGATTTTAAATTGTAACAGTGCGACACATTATTATCTCACGTTGGTTCACATGCAAGGAACAGAAGTTGATGAATAATCGACGGTGACATTAAGAGATACTGTTTATACTTGAAAAGCGGCCAATGAAAATCAAGTTATGTGAGTGGGAAATCCTGGAGAAATCCCAAACTGTTGTTCGCCAGCTCACCCCCAAAACTGACCAATGAAAACTCATATAAGATATTGGAAAATCTAAAGGAAATCCAAATAGTAACTCAACAGCCTCCATCCAGATGTCTCACGCAATGCAATCCGTCCCTCAACTCTAAATCAGGAAAGCTGTAACGTTAAACCCTCACCAAGCCCCCATTTAATTAAAAATTAATCCTAAACTGCTGACAGCGACATTTCTGAGCGGGAAGAGCAGCCCCACTTTTATTTTGCTTTTAGATATTAATAGATGTGTATACCCACGATATTGGAATACCCTAGTACTCAATATCGTATAATTTATGATAAATACCATTGTTACAACTTCATTATGTCCAATTTGAATGAAACACTATTCTGGGTTGCAATGGGTTAAGAAGTATGAAAACAAGTATTAAATTTCCGAAGCCTATCATAAAACCAATTTGTAATGGGGTTCCGAGTAATGGCCTAATGTTAAATACGGGAAATTTGTATGCTGTTGTTGATGATATACAAGAGCATTTTACGATGGCCATCGATGTGAATTACAAAGGGACTCGGTTGAATAGGGTTGGCTACTTAAATGTACTGTGAATTATACGTTTCAGATAATATTATCTGATATATAGACAACATAATTCATTATTGAAAAATCCAATAATGAATTATATTTAATAGTTGGTTGATTTATACAACATGAGTTGAAATAATAGACAAAAAGTCTTCACTGTGAATAAGGTTATTTATCGGTCACAACATTGTGTATGGATACAATGAATGGACATATGGTATTAATTCCCATAGTATAAGTTATTTATAACTCATTCATGACTTAGGGATTCAAATACCATATCGTATTCTGAGACAGTATAGTTTTATTATTGAAGGTTGTATTATCCATCGATAATATCACCGGTGTCTTACGGTGATAAGACATTGAGTATCCAACCATAGCTTCTAGTATTCAATCTAAGTCACTCGATTGTGTTTACAATCCGATAACTTATACAGTATATTACTAAATTTTGTCATGGCCAGTATAATTTCTGAGAATTCAATAACCTCGATGAATTTATAAGTTCCCATCATAGTTTCGTTCACTATTGCCGGATGATCCGGCAATAATCTTCCCTCGATGGTATTGTGACTTGTAGAATACATTTACGACACCAAGTATGTGGTCGTAATTCGTAAATGTTTACTACGGATTTAACCCAATGTTTAGTAACCTAAAAATTGGACTTAACTCGCAAGTCCAATGTTTTCAGTATACACAATTGTAATAGTCATCCGATGGCTAAAAGTCCAATGATCTCATTGATACATACTAGATGTCCAACAAGTCATCTATGTAACAAGTTATTTTACTTGTTGAAAGTGAAGCCGTAGTCCTTGAGTTGAGTCCTCATCCATATGATTTGTGAACAACAACTAGCAGCTGCAACATATTCTGCCTCAGCTGTAGATGTTGACACACAGTTCTGCCTCAACTGTATAACATCGTATATTTGATATGGTATTTGCATTGTTCATTATAATACAGGATATAGTTACTCGGATTAATATGGTTGTGAACTATGATTGCAATTCAATTATCCTTGAATTGAATTATATGGCTTACTCAAATCTCCATCGTAATGATAAGGCATATTACCATAGTTATACACATTATACAGCCACTTGTCATTATTACTACATGTATTTAAAGGCTAATACATGAATGGTTACTACACTAATAGTCGGTATTCACATTGTGAGAACCAAATTGTGTATGATATCACAATACGGTTATTTGTGTACAATTCATCACGAAAACATCTTATATATACGATTTGAGCCAAAGTAATCTATTATGGTAGATTCTATGGTACCCATAAGGTACATACCTTTGTCCAAATGGACCAATGAGAATGTAGCAGTTGAATTATTTAAATGTAAATTAAAAATGATAAAGTGATGTGGTCCAATCAAATGAATGGTAGGTACGGTACCCCATTTTTTAGGAGGGTACCGGAGTTTTCACCATCTATTATACCATAATTTATACCCCGAGATAGGTATATAGTGAAAAACCATAACTTCGTAATGGATAACCAATATTTAAGACCATGAGCATACTTAAGATTAAGTAATGGTTTGGTCAAACTATTATACCTTAATGTCCAGCTACCTATAATTCATATGTACTTTAATACGGAGTATGTTTATACCGATGTGTACAACCATTTATACGAGTGATTGTCCGATTCTAACTAGTTGTGTCATACGTTTAGACATTATTGGGTACATGTTGTATTTAGTTATCCTTAGTATAATTGGGTATATCGTATGGAAAATACTTGATATTCATCGAAATAATACATTTTAACAAATATCGTTTCGACAGTAGACTATGGAATCCTATAAATTCAATTTTACCATCATTTTTATAACGATCGTAAGTATTTATAACACATTTTGTGCAGAACTTGCTCAATTATATTGGACCACTTAATTTACAAATATAAGTCTCACTTAGTAGTCTATTTAATAGGTTCACTAAAAATTAAGTCATGTAAATACTAGAAATTTTAAGAAATATTCACGTCCATACGTTATATAACCGTAACTGTCCAATTATCGTTATCAAATTTTTTTGTATTACAGTTTACTGTAATACAGTAACGTATTAATACTTGGGTTAATACAAGCCCAATAATTTTGATTGGAAACAAACAAAATGGCTGTTTAATTACTCGATTATACTCAGGGGAGGAGCTAGGGGGTGGCCACCCCTGGCCCTGACCCAGCCCAAATTTTAAAAATCTCTATATTTTTAGTGTAAAAAATTCCGTGTGAAATTTTCTCCAAAAATATTCTTTGTACCGGCCCAGTCCGGCCCAGTGTCCTGGCTCCGCCCCTGATTATACTAACATAGGAAAAATATGGACTATAAAGTTTTCCCGTACAATGTGTAATAGGATTCCTTTATCAGGTAATACATGTTGACTGATAATCATTGGTACACATTTTGTATTAGCAATATGGTATTACCCTTGATTTCTAACCGTGATATTTATGTCAGAGAATGTATACAGTATCTAATGATATTACATACTCCCTCCGTCTCAATTTGTTTTGCAAAGTCAACAGTTTTTGGTCAACCGATAATAAAAGTCAACTCTCCATATGGATAATTAATTCAATTTTTGATAATTAAAATTTACATATTCAAAAACTACATTAAAATTTCTTCAAAGTTGTAAACTCGAAATTAGAATATAATTAAAAATAAACATTCTAATTAAGTGAAAAAAACGAGACAGTTTGACTAAGAAAAGTCAAAAATGCAACTCAATTTGGGACGGAGGTAGTAGACTGTAACACCCCAAATTTCCCTCCCGAAAATACCTTTAAATAATGATTTATTCGAAAACATAAGAGTCTTGCAGCGGAAAATTCAAAGGGAAACAGGGGCGTTACCGCCACACTCGGGCACTCGGCTCTCACATAACCGGGTGCACAGGCTATCCACCACCAACAAATTAAAATTTTCCATATTTAATTGTTCAACTACAATTCTTTAAAATTAAGACTAAAATAATTTACTCAATCACTTTAGTCTATGTGTTCTAGCGGAAGCTCTCGAAATCAACTTCAATATGATCCTCAATTCCTGCACAAATAAAGTACAGAAAGGAAAACACAAAGAAACAAAACTTAGCTGGATATGCTAAGTAAGACCCACCCAACCCTGTAAAATAATCATGTTTGATACATATATATCATTTTGTGAAAACATTTGGGAGGAAACCTCATAAAACATTTTATACAAACTTCTCATCACAAAATCACGTGTAAAATAATAATATTCCAAATATAGGTACATATTTCCAAATCATAATAATTCGAAAATGTCAATATACATAAACCACCAAAATCCTCGTAATTATATTCCAAAACATAAATCATATGTAAAGCCCAAATATTCATCTCAAAATACTTCCAAATACTCATAATCAATATTCAACATAACCATATCAAATCAAATTAATAAGTATTACTTTGAAAATCTACAAATAATTTAATAGTCTCAACCACTTCAAATTCAATCCAAATCCAAACAAATATAACCCACTCAAATAATCCAATATAATGTAGTTCAATTCATCTCCATCAAGTCCAACCAAATAATCCAAATCATCTCAAGTTCAATCATTCAAACTCAACCAAATCCAATGGAAGCCGAACTCCTATCTTAAGTGTGCACACCCTCTAAAAGAGATTCCAAGCTCTCCGGGTAGTAAAAAGTCCGAGTAGTCGGGATTTTTCTACCGACTACTACAATTAAGCATGGATGCTCCACTTTTGGGACATCCCTGGTGGAATTAGACTTATAGCCATTACCACTCACCAAATCCACATTTCTCTGAGTACTCAAAATCATAATTCAATCTCAAAGTTCCAATATCATAACCTCAATCAAAATGGTTATGAAATCCAAATTCCACAAAATTATTCACAATGAAATTATTAACTCCAACTCATCATACTCAAATATACCATAAATAGTCCAAAATATAGGATACTTCATAAATAGCTCAAATCTCAATCCAATAGCAATTCATATGTAAATTCAAATGCTCAAAATATCACCCAATATAAAAATATTCAAATCTCGAATATATATAATTCACAATCACAATTGATACGTAAAATCTCATTAACTATCATATACTCAAATGATCTCAAATAACTAGTCACAAATAAATTTACG